CTTAAAGACATACACGATGTAGGCTGCCGCGATGACTGGGAACTTCCAAGATGATGATGTTCGCGTACTAGAGTTTTGAATCGATGCGATTCGTCATGATGCGCGTGTATTGTCCAATAGCCTCGAGGTGATTGACGGGCTGCAGGTAGACGCTTGGCTTGGCTTCGAACAGAACCACAGCGACGCGATGTAACAGTGATAGCATTTCGAGATGCACAACGACTAGGCTGGATGTCATAACTCTATGCAGTGTCTGTGCAGGACGGTAGGACCCTCGCTCAGTGTCATGGCTCTCACAGGGCTGCATGCGGGAGGGCGAGCTCAATCTGGGGGGGAAAGCACGATGCGCAAGCGAGCCAATGCGCCGTTGCCAGGCGGGCGCCGCTCCTTCCTCCAACGAACCCATCGACGATGCCTGAAGCAGCGGAAGAATAAATTTCTCCTCTTACCCTCACCCTCACGACGCCGTCTCACTGTCAATCGCCGTGTTTGCCTGTTGCTTGCTGCTCTTTGACTGGCTGCCCTTACGCCCGTCTCCTTGCACCAAAGTCCGCACTGTTAGTGGGGCAGACCCTTTAGGAGGAAAACAACACGTGAACTAGGCCTGTCTACGCTCGACCTTCTTTCGCTTCAAATTCCCTCCCTACGACGGACGCCCTCCGCAACCTTACCACTCCCTGCCTTCCTGCCGCACCACCTTCTGCTCCTCCCGCCACCGCGGCCCTCTAATTCTTCCCACCGCCAGATACCCCGCCTGAATCTTTGAAGCACCCTTCAGCAGTTATGGATATCAACCAGGTGTTGGAGGGGACCTACTCCGCCGGTATGCTGCCTTTGCTGAGACCCGCACTTTTCTAGAAGCTCGACTGACCCTCCTGCAGACGCTAGCATCCGTAACAACTCCGAGCAACAGCTCATCCAGGCTGCCGACAACAACTTTGTAAGTCTCCCCGCAGCCAGAGGGCTGCATGCCCCCCGAGACATAGCCAGAACATATCCACTAACACGTCTCCCACCAGCCTCAATACCTCACCGTCCTCGGCGGCGAACTCGCAAATGAACAAGCCGCGCCCCAGATCCGACAGGCCGCCGCCCTGGCCCTGAAGAACGCCTTCACCGCTCGCGAGTATGCCCGGTTACGTCAGGTCCAAGAACGATGGCTCAACCTCGACACCCAGATCAAGCAGCAGGTCAAGGACATGGCCCTGCGCACTCTGGCCACACCCAACAAGAACGTAGGCTCCGCCGCCGCACAGTTCATCGCCTCCGTCGCTGCTATCGAGATACCCCGCAATCAATGGCCGGAGCTCATGACCTCGCTCGTCGAGAGTGTCGGTCAGGGCAGCGACGCCCAAAAGCAATCCTCGCTTACCACAATCGGTTTCGTGTGTGACACAGACGACGTAGAGTTGAGGGACGCGCTAGCACAGCACTCCAACGCTATCCTGACGGCTGTCGTCCAGGGTGCCCGCAAGGAGGAGGCCAACAACGACGTCCGTGTAGCCGCCATCAACGCACTCAGCGACTCGATCGAGTTTGTACGCTCCAACTTCGACAATGAGGGCGAGCGCAACTACATTATGCAGGTCATCTGCGAAGCCACACAAGCGGACGACAGCCGCATCCAGCAGGGTTCGTACGGGTGTCTCAACCGCATTATGGGTCTGTACTACGACAAGATGCGCTTCTACATGGAGAAGGCGCTGTTCGGTCTTACCATCCAGGGCATGAAGAGCGAGGAAGAGGATGTCGCCAAGCTGGCTGTCGAGTTCTGGTGCACCGTCTGCGAGGAGGAAATCGCCATCGAGGACGACAACACCCAAGCTCAAGCCGAAGGCTCCACCGAGCTCCGCGAATACTTCAACTTTGCCCGAGTTGCCACACAAGAGGTCGTGCCAGTGCTTCTCGAGCTTCTTGCCAAGCAAGACGAGGACGCCGACGACAACGAGTACAACACTTCCCGCGCCGCATACCAATGTCTGCAGCTCTGGGCACAGTGTGTCGGTAGCGGCGTTATGCCCCCAGTTCTCGCTTTCATCGAGAAGTACATCCGCTCCGAAGACTGGCACTACCGTGATGCGTCCGTTTCCGCCTTTGGTGCCATCATGGAAGGCCCTGAGGAGTCTGTGCTAGACCCCATTGTCAAGCAAGCTCTGCCTACTTTGATCGGAATGATGGACGACCAGAACATCCACGTCAAGGACTCCGCCGCATACGCCTTGGGCCGCATCTGCGAGGCTGTTCCCAGCGCACTCGACGCACAGCAGCATCTCCCTCCTCTGATTGGAGCTCTCTTCAACGGTCTCGCCAGCAACCCTAAGATGGCCGCATCGTGCTGTTGGTCGCTGATGAACTTGGCTGACAGGTTCGCCGGAGAACCCGGTTGCACAACTAACCCATTGTCGCCTCATTTCGCCCAGAGCGTGCAGAGCCTTCTGCAGGTCACTGAGCGCGCTGACGCCGACAACACTCTCCGCACAGCCGCATACGAAGTGCTCAACTCCTTCGTCAACAACGCCGCTGGTGACAGCGTTCCTCTCGTCAACGAGCTCGCCAACGTCATCCTGGAGCGTCTGGAGAAGTCCATGGCACTCCAATCGCAGGTTGTCAACGTTGAGGACAAGCTGACTCTCGAAGAGATGCAGACTAGCTTGGCCAGTGTCATCATGGCCATCATCCAGCGCATGGAGAGCGACATCAGGCCCCAGGCCGACCGTATCATGCAGGCGCTGTTGAGTCTGCTTTCATCTCTGCCTCCCAAGTCCAGTGTTCCAGACACTGTCTTTGCCGCCATTGGTTCGATCGCGACGGCTCTCGAGGAGGACTTCCAGAAGTACATGGAGGCTTTCTCGCCATTCCTGTACAATGCTCTTAACAACCAGGAAGAGCCCGCGCTCTGCTCCATGGCCATTGGCCTGGTTTCTGACATCACCCGATCCTTGGGCGAGAACGTCCAGCCATTCTGCGATGCGTTCATGAACTCTCTCCTTCACAACCTCCGCAGCCCTCAACTTGGCAACCAGCTCAAGCCAGCTATCCTGCAATGCTTCGGTGATATCGCACATGCCATCCACGGCGCGTTCGAGACTTACCTGACTGTTGTTGCTCAAGTGCTGCAACAAGCTGGACAAGTCACAATCACCACTGAGGGCAACTACGAGATGATCGACTACATCACTTCCCTCCGTGAGGGTATCATGGATGCCTGGGACGGATGTATCGTTGCCATGAAGAGCAGCAACAAGAGTGAGTTTTGTGATCTAGGACGCTGATCACACACTAACAGCCACAGCTCAACTCATCGTCCCATACCTTGACTCCATCTTCGACCTTCTCCGCACTATCCAAGCAGACAGCAACCGCACTGAGGCTCTCCTCCGATCTTCGTGTGGTGTTATCGGGTATGTATAGGCGTCCCTCTTTCAATACATCCCACTAACATTATCTAGTGACCTCGCGGATGCGTTCCCAGCTGGTGACTTCCGGGAGTACTTCCGTCACGAGTTCCTCACCGCAATGGCGAGGGAGACACGCGCAAACCAAGACTTCAGCGGTCGAACCCGAGACACTGCTCGATGGGCACGTGAACAGATCAAGCGTCAAGTCGGTACGTCGCTCGGCAACAACCCCTACCTCCGCCCCGCTCCTCTTTAGTGAATTCGACATCCCCACCTTATATATATATACCTCAGCCCACTGACTTCCCCTTCCCAGGCGGCAACCAAGGCGTAATGGCCTGATTGTCTTGATACCCCTTCCCTCCCCCAGCACTGCTTGAACCTTGTGTTGGCCAAGATGTTGGATAACCTCTCTGGAGGTACCGTCTAGCATGTGGCTAAAGCATAGATTCTAGCTCCCCCTCGCGTATCCCAGCACCTCGAAGCACAGTCCGGAGCCCATCCGTTCGAAGAATGTCGTCGCGCACGGAACTTCGCTCCCCCGGAGTCATCGGTCTACGTCTCTCGCAGTTACCCGGCAATCCTTGATAGAGCAACGTCGTCGTATGCGTCCCCATTCGGAGGAGGAGGCGGAGTCGTTTCGTCGTCCAACGATGGTGTCCATAGATTTGGACATTGGGAATTGGTTAATGGTGTCTCAACCTATCGTCTACCCGTGGAAAAGATTCCAGGTGGCTGCGGTCATCCCGATGTTATTTGAAGTCGACACGAGACGAATCCAGCACCCCGACCCCGCGACTCCCGACCCCAGCACCAATGCGCATCCCCCCGTCGAACCCGAATCGCACAGCACCGTCTCCAACCCAATCATGTAGCACCAAAAGTCTTGTAAGGCAAAGCAAAAAGCTGTTATAGCTTTTTCTTCTTGCCAAGGAGAATAATAGATTCATTCCCATCCACCCTTTTTTGTACACTCACTTCCTTCTTTCTTCCCCTTCGGGGCCTTCGGGGCTTCAACTTCCCAATCATAACATTGGAACTAGGCGTTTATACCACTTTGACTACTTTGATTCTGAAGTAGTTCGTTTCTGTGGAATGGGTATATTTGCTGGCCAGCTTTATAGTTGTAATGATTACTGCGTAGACTTGATGCTGATATGTTTGCTGTGATGGACTGATAATGAGGTGGTGATGTGTGTTGTTGTATCCATGGCGTGATGTCGATACAATAATAGTGTCAGGAACAGGTGTAAAGAGTGAGGGCCTATCATGTGAACAACTCTTCATCTTAACGTAACCCTTACCTTTCCTTCTCTATCTCTGTTATCTTCCGTCGCTTACTATAACACGTACATCTGAACCAACACATACTGCTGCAAAAATACAGAGAACCAGCTCGCAAGCCGCTACCGCACATCACCACACGCTCTTACATCCCCACATTTCACTCTCCCCCACTCTAACACATGGTTCGTGAGTACTGGCAAAAACGATGGTTCAAATGGCAAAAAAATACAACGGCTGATAGTCAGCCCGGCGGCTGTGTAACTCGAAGGTCAAACCAACAAGCCTCGAGATTTCGATGCGGACAGCCATGACGCCCTACAATACATATCTAAAATACATGTTCTCACCATCCGTCAAATCCATAAACGCCATCTTATCCCTTTCTTCCTCATCCACACTCATCGTCTCTCTCCTCTTGTTCTCCCTCTTCAGTACGGCGTATAGCGCTACCGCCGACGCGATCGTGATACAATAACAGATGATTAGACCCGTCCATAGCCTAGGGTAATGCGCACCCTTCTCTTGACTCCTAATCAGCAGTGGACCGACGATGTTGCCGACGCAGTATGCTACAAAGACCGTGCCTGCCATGGCGCTCTTCTTCGTTGCGCCGCTGACGTTGGACATGGCTATGACGATTGTCTGGCTAACGACTGCGCCAAATGTACCGATTATGGAGTATCCGGCTACGGGAGTGGGCGCATGGTACGTCCAGGAGGATGTCCAGATCATGGCGCAGCCTGCGATGACGGGGAGGCAGTTGACGATGAGGAGAATGATCCGTATGTTGGGTATACGCGAGGAGAGATAGCCGCAAAGAAGGATCGTAACGAGGCAGATGAGACCAAGCGGGAACTGCCAGAGTATCGATGCCAGGGGCGACCAGCCGAATGTGTTTACGATGAGTGGGCCGAAACCAGAAACTGCGCCGTTGACGGTGTACGCTGATCCCATAAGCAGAAACACGAGGTAGAATTTAGCGTCCGTAACACATTCCCTGAGTTGATACATCTTAATCTTCTGGCACCGCACACCCGTCGCGCCCTTCCTCAGCCGTTCAACAGCGACAACGCGTTCGCTCTTCGCCAAGAACCATGCTTCAGCGCAGGAATTGGGGATAAAGAAGCAGAAACAACCGAAGATGAAGGTTAGACACCCAGCGAGGAGGTAGATGTACTGCCATCGTCTTAACGCATCAGAAGTTATCTGTGCGAATCCGTAGTTCAACGCGCCACCGATGATGGTGAAGAGACCGGTGGAACTGAACCACCAGGACTGGCGTACGGATTGTTCGCGCTGCGTGTAGTAACTGCTTACTATCGTCATGAAGCCTGTCGGGATGATACTTTCCACGAAGCCTAGGAAGAATCTTTGGACATAGAGCCCCTTGTAGTCGGTAACGGCGGCTGTTAACATGCAGATTAGACTCCAAAGTAGTACGACGGCACCAAGGATACGGCCTAGGTTGAAGCGTTGCAAGGCGAAAGTAAGCGGGTAGAGTCCGGCGAGCATGCCGAAGTAGAACAATGAAGTGGCCCATGAGAGACGCGTCGTGGAGATTACTGCTGGGGAAGTCGACGTAGCGGGGGACAGGTTCTGGGTGAGATGTAGGTCGGTTGTCATGCCGAAGAGGGCGGCGGAACCGAGGATCGCTTTGTCGTAGTATACTAGGCCGTAGCCTAAGATTCTCTGTTAGATAGGAATCATGTGGTGTTCATGATGGTGAGAGATGGATGGTATGGACGAGGTCGGTGGGATTGACGTACCCACGATCATGGCGGGAATGAGGAACCAATCGATCTTTCGGAGAACTTTTGCTTCGATCTCAGGGTCGATGTCTTGGGCGCGTTCACCGACGAGGTTGATCGCCAAGTCTTTGTCGGTGGACGTCGCGTCCAAGGCTGTTTCGGCGTCATGGGGAGATGAGGCCGTCGCCTTCTCATCTGGTCGGGTGGCCGCCATGTTGGAAGACATGTCGCGAATGAGATCGCGCGATCAAGAACAGAAGATGAGAGACAAACAGACAGGACTGTAGTTGATGATTTCACATCGCTTGACTCTACACGCACGGCTTGGATATCCACGGGATGCCACATAAACACTAGCGCAACATCAATCCAGCATGCCAAACGTCCGCAAGCTGCAAGCGAAGCCGGCGGCCAATCCATGGCCCTGGGCACGCCATCTGCGCACGATGATGATTGGCGGGTGCTGAAGATGCCGCGTGAACTGGCAGAAGTTGGGATGAATTGCGCGGGTTGAGTATGAACGCTAGTGCCCTACAGGCTTAGTGGCACGATGACATAATCGTGAAAAACTTTCCCTTGCTCACGCCGCGCTTTCTCCCGCCTACTCTGCCCAACCACAACCGGTGCCACCATCACCACGCGTGTGTGTAGTTTGTGTACTCATATCGTACACACCCTGACACACATACACTCCCATCACTACCTTCACCAATTCGTGAAGCGATGCGCGCTGCCGACGTGCAGCTTGGAAAACCAAACGCGCGCGCTTTTGTAGAACGGTCTCTTGCCTCGCTCAGTCCGCTGTTCCATCAGCAGATTTCGAGCTGGATACACACAACACTTTCTCTTTTCTTTCTTCGAGGAAAAGAGGTTGTGTGTATGAGACAAGAGTAAATGCGACGATCTTTGAGTACGGAACCGCCTGAAACCATGTGTCGGACCTCTGTAATTTATCTGTCGGGACATATTTTGCGTTATGGGTGCTTTGCTTCAGTGTCTGAGCATCTTGGCACGTTGGATTTATGGCACGCCAACCTAGGGAAAAACGGTCATGCGGCAGCGGATATATATCATTGGGCGACGGCGCGCTGACTGCATCTCGCGTGGCACAGCCCCAGAACCTGAGGATCATGAAAGCCCGGAATCCTGCGATAGTCTTATGTATGGGCTGTAGGCAACACTCCCTCACCACCGTTTGACACTCCTGCACCTCATCACACAGCAACGCATCTTTCGACCTCGAATCTCACAGCGGCGCCATGGAAAGTGCTTATCGACCGCTCGTGGGGAACGAAGTCCGCTTCGTAAGGATTCAGCCTGGTGCCTGGACTGATCCTATCCGATGCGATCTGGTATGCCTACCGCTGCCTGATGCTGAAACCGACGTAGTAGAAGCATGGTTTTCGGGTAGGCCGCTACCAAAACTACTACATGAAGAGTTGTATGACCCACGAACCTCGAGCACGTCATCATCGCTAGGCGATCCAAGCGAAGCACCAACTGTGCAAATACCACCTTTCGTTGCGTTGTCGTATGCGTGGGGTGAACCGAACTGCACGCAGGAATTATTTCTCGATGGTCAGCCAGTCCAAAAGACCATCAATCTCATCGCTGCTTTGCGACAACTAAGGGCCTTGCTTGGAGACCCTTCCCGCGCACCTGATATCTTTCGCAACAGTAGCACTCTGTTCTGGATCGATGCACTGTGCATCAATCAGTCAGATAATGCAGAAAAGTCGGCGCAGGTACCTCGAATGGCCGCGATCTATGGAGCTGCAGAATTCGTGTTAGCGTGGTTAGGAGAGAACGAAGACGACGATACCGCGGTCCAGGAATTCGTAAACTTAGTCAACACCATTGATCTCCAGGATAAGGCAAGGACTATTGCTAGTTACACTCGCATTATCAACGCCCTGAACAGCGCCGAGCTTACCCATATCCTAGACGGCTACAAGAGCCTTGGTCGGCGGCCATGGTTCAAAAGAACTTGGGTAATACAAGAGACAGTGATGTCACGCTACACCATTATTCTAGCAGGGTCATGTTGGTGTGACTATGAGCACCTTTCAAGTGTCTGCCTTGCTGCAGCCCAAAGTCATTTCCATGACCTTGTGATCAACGAATCCGGGATGCACCGACCGATAAATCACTCCATCTTTGCTTCGACCCTTCGCAATACGATACAGTGCATCTTTGAAGGAAGATTTGCAACTAGATCAGATCCTCTTTCTGTTGCATCCCAGAACGAGGTGGGGGATGAAGACTATGATCAATGCTTGTCCGAATTCGACACTACAGACGAAGGTGGACTTGGACATTTCTCCAGTATCTTTGAAGATTGGACTAATGATGCTGAAGATCTGTGGGAATCGCCCGCAGTTGCGCAGGAATTTTTGAGCACTAAACTGCTTGCATTCCTTCTCAGGGCTGCGCTGTCCGCCCTGATTGCACGATTCGAAGCTACAATTCCCCATGACTATCTTTACGGGATCATCTCCCTTGGTGGTATTATGGTATTTCCCCGGAACCTTGTCCCGGACTATACACTTCCATTCGAGGATGTCTTCCACCAATACACTGAACTGATACTACGCCATACGGGCGATCTTACTATCATCCCTCGGAGGCGTCATGGACTCAAAGGAGTGCCCAGTTGGGTTCCAGATTATGGTTCATCGAAAGTGATTCTCAAGCATCTTGATAAAGACAGGCAGCTGTCAGTCAATCCCGATGTGAGTGTATCGGATGACGGCCGGGTTTGCTCCACACGGGGGGCTCACCTAGGAAATGTGACAATGGTGCTAGACTACAGTTGCAGCGATAGAACTGAGGAGGAACGAGCAAACACCAATAATCGTCTCGACCAATTTTTTGAGTATCTCTGCAAACAAGCGCAGGTTGACAAGCACGATGTCTTGGAAGAAATACATCGTATTCTCAACCAAACAGGCTATCCTGGGTTCCAAGAGAGCAGTTTTCAAAGAGCTTACAACGAATACGGGTCTGAATTCCCAAGCTCAGACACTCAAGGGCAAATAACTACTGGAGACATATGGACGAAAGTAACGCGCACGATTCGAGATAACGTATGTTTCTTGACTTCACGGGGCCTCATACTGAATCTGGAAAGGGATGATGAACAGCCTAGGGAGGGAGATGTACTAGTCCTATTGAAAGGAGCCAATCATCCCTGGCTGCTTCGTCCTATTGTCGAATCTAACGCAAAGGTATACACATTCGTTGGAGCTTGCCCAATGCTTTACAGGAATTCCCAGAGCAGCGGTATGGAGGACTGGCCTTCCAGTCGGTGGGCGGATGTTCCTGAAGAGATTCTAGGACATTTCTTTGAGTCCAATGACGTACGAGAGTTCCGCTTAGTATAGCACGTCACATCGAGAAGCATCATAGTGTAACGTCGAGCGACTCCAGAACAAAGCATAGCTATTCAAGCACCTAAGGCATCTCACTATCACCTCATGCCAGAAAAGCTAAACAGGTCTGCAGACTACGTTAAAGCGAAAAGTTGCAAAGTAGATGACCTAACATCAACGTAGGCTCTAGGGTGTTCATTTTTCCCTAAATCGGCGTGCTACAGATCCAAAGTTATGGTGCCACGGATGTGACTGGGGGTCTGATTATTTCTAGAGCACTCGTTGCTAATATTGGGATGCGCAGCCATGGCCAGAAGCAGACAGATTGGATTTGTCGCGATGTGAATTTTCCAAGGGCGACGCTGTCTCGACTTTACTACCACCTCATTTAAGATAAAAGCTGAACAGGCCTAGGGCCTACATCGACGTTAGGCTACCTAAGTTGCGCGTTTTTATGTTAATGTAGGCTGCAAACGTATTTTGTCTTTTCTTGGGTCGACGTGCTACTGGAGGAAAGTAGCAGCGAAACATCATGTGGCGACGGGGATCGGAAGAATGGACTGTGCATATTGCCAAGGCGCTAGACCCAACGGGTCATGGGCACCCTCGCGATTAGAAGCTCACAGCCGTAGATACCTTGCGCGATCATTCCTTCGAACGCTCCTCTCGCAACAAGCAATCCAACATGGAAGCAAACGCAGATCCTACGACCTCTCTCTGAAGACGCCAGTACCATTCAGTCAACACCATGAACATCAGGAGCACACGAGAAGAAGGAACGACAGATCAACATCAATTCGCAGCCCCAGAGAATGAGGACCAGATCGCAGTACTGCAGATAACCATACTAAGCGCACCACTGCGGCTAACGGCACGCTGCGAAGGATGCTCGCGCCCCGCCTATAAGTCCTTGGAGACAGCATCAAAAGACCGGGATGGTAGTAATACCCAGGGAATTCTCCATGTTGGGAAGGATTTCCAGACGCAGCGCATGGGTACATATACCGGAAACCAATCAATACGGCTACACTCAAGGCTAGAATGCTGTGCGGCAGGTAGCGCCCTGACCACGTGATGTCGATTACTCGAGAACGCGACGGTGATATGAATCCGCGTTCTCGCGTAGGTACGTCTGCGACTTGGCACCTTCTTCAATAGTCTGGCCTGTTGAAGTTTTCTGGTTCAAGGTATATACTTGGTCTCCCTCATGCCAGGTAAATGCAGATACGCCCACATTATAGCACCATGAAGCTCTTCCATGTGTTGCTAACGGCTCTGGCCAGTACTGTCAGTGCAGAGAGCAAGGATAAACCTAATGAAGTAGACTCCCTGGCTGCCGAGAGTCTACACCGAATGCAGGCCTACTACTCTGAAAACCCACTACCGAGCCCAGGAAAATGCACACTGGATAACGTAGCCGTTCGTCGAGACTGGTGAGTGAGATATCCGCCATCCCATTCTGCTCCAACTCACACACTGCAGGTCAGCCTTGAGTAAACACGAAAGGCGCAGCTATATCAAAGCTGTAAAATGTCTAGCAAAGCTACCAGCGAGGACACCCGCCGCCATTGCTTCAGGTGCCAAAAGCCGATACGATGACCTTGTGGTGACCCACATCCTGCAAGCGTTCACAATCCATGGAACGGCTAATTTTTTGACATGGCACCGATACTATACTTGGGCTTTTGAACAGATGCTGCGAAATGAATGCGGGTACAAAGGGTATCAGCCTTACTACAACTGGTATGTGAGATCCATGCAGAACCCATGAGACCAATACTGACTTCATGTGCCAATCTGCAGGGGCCACTGGGCAGACAACCCAAAAGCCTCCCCCTTCTTCGACGGCAGCGACACCAGCATGTCAGGAGACGGCGCATACATCGCGAACAGAACTTCAGTCTGCTTCCCATCAATCGAACAGTGCTACATCCAGCTACAGCCCGGAAGTGGAGGCGGCTGCGTAACGTCCGGTCCGTTCAAAGAGTATGCACTACCCTCCCATCTCTCCTCGCCCCAACAAAGCCCATCACTAACACCCCCATCCAGCTGGAAGATCAACCTCGGCCCCCTCGCCGCCGTCTCCCTCCCCCCTCCGACCCCAAACCCCCAACCCGACGGCCTAGCCTACAACCCCCGCTGCCTCTCCCGCGACATCTCGCTCCAATCCTCCGCCGAAACCCACGACTCCGTCGTCGCCGCCCTAATCAAAGACAACACCACCATCACATCCTTCCAAACCGTGCTCGGCGGCGAATTCGCCCAGGGCAAAATGGGCCCCCACGTCGGCGGCCACAACACCATCGGCGGCGACGCAGGTTCCGATTTCATTAATTCGCCTGCGGATCCTGCGTTCTTTGCGCATCATGCTATGGTTGATCGCGTGTATTGGACGTGGCAGAATTTGGATTTGGAGGCGAGGAGAGAGGCGATTGCGGGGGGGACGAGTGGGGTGGGGGATCCGGGGGAGGCGGGGACGTTGGAGGATGTTATTACATTGGGGGAGTGGGTGGGATATGGGAATGTGACGATTAGGGAGGCGATGAGTACGGTTGGGGGCCGTTTTGCTATGTTTATGCTTAGGGGTTGGGTATTGCGCTGCTGGGGCTTTGCTATATGAAGGCCTAATGGACGAGGCTAGGTCCTGTTACCGAGATGAGAAAAGTTGTAACACCCGGCCGAAATACAGCGCCTCGATAATCTTTTCGAGGTCCAAACCACCACACCAATCTTGTCTTGACCTTCCCCTCTTCAATCACATCCTCTCACCACCCCCCATCCCAAGGAACCACAACCCCACCTGCGCTGCTCGCCTCAACATCACTCAATCCATTGAACTCCCAACTAACATCCACGCCATGCATCTTCCTAAACCTTGTTCTGGCATCCTTCGTCACGGGATCAACCTCCAGCTCATCCGGAAAAGTCTCAAGTAGCCTCTTGACGAATCTCTTGCCCGGCCGTACTATTGTGACAATCTTGATTTCCGTATTGGGCGGCGGTGGAAGGGTCTCGGTTTTCGTTGTTTGGAGGGAAGACTTGCTGTCGCTGGTAAAGCGGGATGGTTCGACGGACGTGATGTTAACACCAGTATTTGGATCAGGGCCTCGTTCGGGGAAGACTTGTCGATGTTGTGAGATTTGGCGTAGTCGTGTGCCGAACGATTCGGTGGGGGTGATGGAAGTGGAGGATACGGGGGATAGCGCAGACGGAGGGGGTTTGGTGTGTAGGACGTCGTGGAGTTGGAGGCAGAGTGATGTGACGACTTTGAAGCGGTTGGAGCGGATCATGCCGGAGTACAGTTTGTTGGGGTCTGTACTGTTTGTGGGGGTTGTAGGTGCCGGGGTTTGTTGAGCGGGCGGGTGTATGACTTGAACGGTGGGATTGTTCTGCTGGGCTTGGAGGTGTTGTGCTAGCGGACTGGGGTTTGGTGGGTGGTTGTGTTGGCCGTGGGCGTGCGGTACTGGCATTGCTTGTTGGTGATGTTGCGCATTACCACCCATTCCCAACGCCCCCTGCATGAATTGCGGGAAAGGCATCGCGGGCGCGGGTGGAGGCGGAGGCGGGACCTGGTTCGCGTTGGCAGGAGTATGCGCATGGCCGCCTGTGCCGCCGACGATTTGCACGCCGGCGGTAGTCATGACCTGGTTTATGGCATTCTGGACATGTTGCTGTAGGGTGTGTATCTGATGTCCCACAGCATTCTGAACCGCCGGTAGGTGTCCCGCTGGTTGGGGTCCGAGAATTGGGCGTTGTATCCCAGCCAGTACGCCTGACATGAAGTGTGGACACATCCCCAATTTGAGGAATACCCAGAGACTCTTCAACTTAGGCAAATCAGCTCTTAGGCTCCTCTCTGCCTTCTTGCTTCCCATATATGCCGTCCATAATGGCAGGTCCTTGTCCTTTATGCGGATGTACACGCTCGTTATGTTTGCCGAGGCGGGAGACGTGACGACGCGGAAGATGTTGCAGTCGCTGGGATGTGTGAATAGAAACTTGTTCTGTGCGTACAAAACAATCACGGCTTCGTCGTGAACCTGCCTGTTGGTCCGGAGGAGGTTCACGCTGACATGGCGATGTTTGCTGTACGCCGATTGGGACACGGCACCGGGCCACAGGAACGGCGTGTTGGAAACCAGGGCATACGTGTAGACGCGATCGCGGAGCTCTCTCGGCAGAGACAAGAGCAGTGAGAAGCACGGATCGGGAAGAACTTCGAGGGTCGGCATCTGGGAGGCTGTAGGCGTGGGTAGTGCGGCGCTACGCGAATGCGAAGGGTTGCGGAGGCGCGCTGGGCGGCTGGCTGATTGCGGCGGCGCGTCTATCATGGTGGTGTCGGAAGAGCTGCTGCTGTTGGAGGAGGAACGTGACCGCGAAGGCGTCGAAGTGCGCGAGGCCATCTCGTCCAACTTCGGATGGGCGCTTGCTGATTAATAGCCTGGTAGCTTGATTGTGGGGCGGCGAAGCGATACGACGGACGGTACGGGACGTTGGGCGTGATGGTAGTAGTACCGTGTTGCGCGCGATTGGCGAAGCGGGGCGGATGATTCAGCGTGCTATCGATGCCCAACAATGGCAGATGGGGGCAGAGAGGTCTTATAATCCTACGCGCCCTACGAGGCCGAGATTGAGGGGAAAGTGTTGAGCGGCTGTGACCTGTGCCTCATTCCTCCACTGCTGTGATCCCATCATCACCCAGCCGCTCACGCTATCGCCGAGGCTAGACCGGTGCCGATCAGCGTTTGCACTACCCAATAACCTGCATCATCAACCACTATAGCTATTCAGAGATCCGCATGTGCTCTTCCATCTGTTTTGTCTTTCCACATGACCGATCTCTTTTAAGAAGTATTTCCATGCTATCGGTCCTTCAAAAGTACATCATTTGCCTGGTTAGCTGTCCCGCGGCGCTGAGCGGGGAACCGACCTTCAGCCTTATCCTGAGCGCGTACGTCGCGCTGTCATACAACCTCAGAATCTTCCTATGACTCAATTGCGAGATCATGAGTGCCCGAAACAAGCAGCCTCAGCTTGGCCTGTGGTCAAGGTTAGCAACCACGCGATCGTAAGGTTTGTGCCACCCATCACAATTATTGTGAAGTGATATCGCATCTGTCGCAATCCGAGCCACGACCAGATTCGACTCCCGGGTCGTGGCCAGTCTTAACGTTCTTCTGGAGTACACAGGAGAGATCTTCAATAGGATGTATTCAACCCAGCTTGGCCGCAAGCTCTCCACATCGTACTATCGAGTGTTCCATCGACCGAAACATCCAAGACCCATCAGCGGCAGAGGCAGAACGATTTAGTCTGCGTAACCATCAGCTACCTTCCAGAGGAGCCACCAGCCTTCCAGCTATATCGTGCAACTACCTCATACGTTCTTTCTTCGCTCCTGTCATTTCTTCTTCTGATATGTATGACCGTACACATTCTTCTAGCACGCCGAAAGATCTGGAAGCAGGGAACAAAGGATACAAGGTGTAGGCGAGTTTTATCGCAGAAGGTTGTAACCCTTAAATATGCAAGTTATCGTACCCGTATGCATATCTCAACCGGTACGATCCAACTAAACCTAGACGTACAAAGAACCCGGATCAAACAGAGATGAACGAAGCGCAACTACCACAATTCCCTCTTGCAGAAACGCCACGCTGCCGCCGTTGCGACTGGGAGCCCAGGTACCGGAATAAAGTCTCGGAAAACAATAGGAATGGCAACGCAGGCCGGCCGTACTACAAATGCATTCGATGTGAGGGCAGGGCAGGTCAAGGCGTAGGATACCATCTCAAAGGCTGGACAACATGGGATGATGACCGCGGTATGGATGTCAGGAATCCGGAGTGTTACTGCGGGACGGCTAGTCGTCAGGACAAAGCAGGTGCTCATACGAGTATACCTAACTTGGGGTTCTGCACGTGTGCGACGGGTAGGTGTAATTACTATTCGGCGGCTAAGAATGGGCAGACTGTCGAGCAGAGGGTGGAGAATCCGGAGATGGCTGAGTACCGCCAGTTTAGACCGTGGTTGCTTTGATCAAGCGTGGTCAGGAACGGAGCTCAGTAGAATGTGTGTTTAGTCATGCTGCGTAGGGAGATATGTCGAAGGCCGACGATCCACCGACGTAGAGTTGATGAGATTCTTTGAACAGGGGTTCAGATAACGAAAGTCCAGTAACTTAGGACTATGGAAGATACATGAGGCAGACAATAGACGCGCGGCATGCAGACGCATGTATTGCTATGCGTTCAATTACTATTCGACGAGAGAAATGCTGTGCGACATCCTTCGCATAAACCCCGCACAGTCTTCCGATAGCGGTAGCAACATGAGATCGTCTGCTGATACATGAACCAACCCGCCATCTCTCAAATTCATCTCGATAAGCCAACATGGCCAGCCCTTCAGCCACGCAATCATGCACATTGTGCAACAAACAGAACTCGAACTATTGCGCACGATGCAAATGTACCTCCTACTGCTCCAAGACATGTCAGAAAGCTGACTGGAGCACCCACAAGTTACTTTGTCCCTCATTCTCCACATTTGCCATCTCCAGCCGGCCGAGTGTCAACCATTACCGTGCAGTCTTGTTCAATGCCGACGAGGCGAAACCTCGATTCATCTGGCTTCTCTGTAAGTGGCTCGAAAAGGACGACGATGAAGATGAGGACGACGGTCTAGATTACGAATACGAAGAAGATGACGAAGAGAATTACCAGATGCCCATGACCAAGGCAATCATCGGAGACGATGTCTCCGCAAGTCATACGCCTATCCAACACAATTCGAGATTGAACATACCGCCTTCGGACACTATCTTCGTCACATACCGCGATACATTCTCGATTGATGGTTCTCGGCTAAACAAGAGCGTAGCCTCAATCACGTCCACCTAACCAGGCACGTATACGGACTGGCGCGGTCCCATCGTCGCTTATGCGAAGGTGGGAAGAGGCATGGACCCACCAACTTGCAGGCACTTTGATCTGGTCGACTTGAGACATGTCACGGACTACTTCCTCTCACACGGGTACACACCGCCTAAGGCCCAAGACAATGTGGCTCGTGTGAAGGGCGTGAGGATCAACTGTCTGGGCGACGTGAAGATGCTCAAGAAACCACCCTTCGAAGCCATCGAACTCCCAACCACCGATCCTATCTTCACTAAGCACGATACTTCTGACATCGCTAACCGCAGACTCTAAAGATTGTAATGTCTCTTATTTAATAAAGAGTACCTTTACGTATATAGTAGTTATATAATTTAGAAATTATAAGTAGCTTATTTTACTTTATATTATTATAGTACTATAAATTTATTAATAAATAATTTAATTATATTAACGCTACTAGTTTTATTAAGTACTTATTACTTATACTTATATAATAACTAAGATATAAATACTTATTACTACTTACTTATATACTAATATTTTATTAATAATTTAGTTATTACTATAATATTTAAGTACGTTTAAAAAGCTAAGTTTACTTTTATTTAAAACTTTTTAGCTTATTATTCTTTCTAAAAGCTAAGTTAAAGCTTATTTCTTACTTTTTAACTAAGCTTTTACTATAGTATTATTTATAATACTATTAGTATTTATTTATTAAGCTATATATATAAAGAGCTCTTACTTTATTTAGTAAACTACTTATAAAGTAATTTTATATTCTAAAAATAAAGTTTAACTCTTTATATTTTATTTTATATTTTATTAAATATATAAATATTTTTAGTATATAATAATATCTTTAACTATATACTTAGAACTTTAGCCTAAGCTATACTATATTAAGTAAGTTAGCTATAAGTTAGAGCTAAGTGTAAAGATCTTATTAATATAGTAGTTATTATTTTAGCTTTATTTTTTATTATTAAATATATTATTTTCTTAGAGCTAAAAGTTTCTTTTTAATATACTATTATAAGTAGTAGCTTTATTTATAAAATATTTTATATTTAAAGTACTATAGAATATACTATACTACTTATAAAATATAGCTATACTAAGCTTATAACTTCTTTTAAAAATTTAAAAACTTTTTTAAAACTTCTTTATAACTAATTTATAAGTATTTTATTTATATAGAAATATATAAATAATTAAATAATTATTATATAGTACTATAAATAAAATAAAGAAAAACTAAAATATTAAATTATATATACTATAGTAAGTTAATAGTTAAGAAATATATAATATATACTTTAGTATCTTTATTACTTTTATAACTTATATAACTATAGCTACTAATATTTTTTTTTATTAATATTATAAGTATTAAAATTAGCTTTTAAGAAATATTTATACTTATTAATAATATTTTAGCTACTTTTACTTTTTTTAATTTACTTAATATTAATAAAGTAGCTAGTATATTATAAGCTAACTTTTTTATACTTATTAGCTTTACTATTACTTAACTTATTATTTTTATTATTACTTTACTTATAGCTTTACTTATTAGTTAAAATACTACTTATTAATAAAAGAATAGTATATACTTTTTTTAAGTATAAAATATATAAAAGTACTATTAACTAAAATTTAGCTAACTATATAAGTAAAACTTATATAGTATAACTATAAGTAGACTTTAAAAAATAAATAGTAAATAATTATTATAGTTATAGAAAGAGAAGTAGATAAGCACTAGGTTTTATAGAAGACTAATAGCTATATTAAGTATAATAATAACTAACTTATAAGAATAAAGAGAGCGCTAAGAAATATGTAACTTACTCTATAGTTCTATATATATTATATATATTAGCGTTATTAGCTATAAAGAGATTCTTAAGAATTCTACTTAGCCTTACTACGTTCTAGCTTCTAGAACTTACTAAGACTTACTAAGACTTATAAGACTATAGAGTTATCTTAAGTATATAGCTTAGATACTAAGCTCTTATAGCTTAGTATATTTAACTTTATATAAAACTCTAGTATTTAATCTAAGAATTATACTTTTTTTTTAACTCTTTATAATATTATATTATTCTACTAAATATACTATTACCTCTTATACTATTATATTAATCTTCTAATTATACTAGTATACTAACTTATTCTACTTTACTTACTTACTCTCTAAGAACTAACTCTTAGATTATCTTAGAATAACCTTTATACTTTAAATACTCTTAAGATAAGTAATACTAAGATAGATACCTCTACTACTTTCTATACTATAAAAGTTACTAGTAAAAGTAATAAGTCTAATATCTATAATAGAGAACGTAATAAGCTTAAGAGTTAGCTACTCTAGATTAACTATTACTTCTACCTTAAAGATAATAAGATTAATAATAATAATATAGTTATCTAGGCTACTATATCTCTATAAGAAAACGCTAGAGAATAGATTATATCTATTATTTATTACTATATAGATAATACTATTAAGAATATAGATAATAAGAACTTAGTTAAGAACTAGAATACTTTTAAAGTAAAGATATATAAAGTCTTTTTACTTTTCTAGAAGATAGTAATCGCTAAGTAGAAGATTTAATAGCTACGCTAGACGCATTCTACTACTAACTATACTACTTAGTTCTAGTAGTACTAAATAGTTATTAATTAGAATAATAACGCTTTAATATAGATATATAAGTAAGATCTTAAACTCTAGGTTTGTAAAGAACTAATAAGAAGTAGAACTAGTATTAATACGCTTTAAGAACTTATAAATAAAGCTATCTATATTAATAATAAACTCTATAGACTCTAGCTAGAAGAATAACTATTTACGTAGAGAATATAAGTACTAGAGAATATAAATAGAAACGCCTAGGTTTACTCTAAACCTTACTATTTGTACTCTAACTAAGAACGTCTATAAAATAATATATCTAGAATTCTAGAATTATATACTACTAATAGCTATAAATCTATATATCTTAATAATCTTAATAAGAGACTTAGATAACCTAAGTTTTAAGATAAGAAGTAGAAGAAGAAGAACTTTAACTACTACGTCTATAGTAAACTAGGTTATATAGTATAAGACTATAAGAGCTAAGATAAAGTAGTATAATAGCTAAATATTCTATAATCTATAGATCTATACTAAAATAAAGAGTAGAATATTATTACTAGATCTATTTATAATATTAATAGTTATATAAATAGTATAATTAATAAGCTAGAGAATCTAACTCTTATTACGCTAGAAGACGCTACCTTAGAAGAAGTAAGTACTTCTAAGAATAAGTTCTTCTAGAACCTTAAGATAACTAAGATTAACTAGACTAAGTTTAGTAAGATAAAACTATTTTAATAAAATAATAGGCTAGTAACACTATTTATACTAAGTAATAAGATACTATAGCTCTTACTATAGAATAATTAACTATAATAGTATCTTAATAAACCTAATATTAACTACGCGTATAAAATATCTAATATTATAGCTATAATAAGATAAGATTTCTATAAACTATTCTAGAAGGTAAATTGCTTTAAGAGTAACGTCTCTAAAGATATACACTAGTTTCTACTAACGTCTAAAGAACTAGACTAGATTAATAGAGTAGTTAAGTTATAGAAAGATAATAACTATTACTACTTAGATAGAGAATAAGCTTAAGAACTAAACTAGCTTAAAGAGAAATAACTAATATAGTTAGCACTATAACTAAAGAAGTAATAATATAAGAACTAATCTAAATAAGAATATATTAGAGAATAATACTAGATAGATTACTATAATCTATAATATATTAAACTAATATAAGTTATATACTTATATAACTATTATACTATTTACTACTCTAGTAAGGTTAATACTAACTACTTCTCTAGAATATGCTATAAGGTAGTCTATTACTAAAAGCGATAGTATAACTACTTAAAGAATAAATACCTAGTATATCTATAGAATAAGAGAAAGAAGCTATACTTCTATAGTTATAAGAACTTATAGAAAATACTATAGATATATATAATAGTATAGATAGAATATAAGAATAGAAGTGTATAGAAGTGTAATTAACTCTTATAGTATACGTACCTTAATATTAAATATAACGCTTATATACTTATAAAAGAACTCTATAGATATAACTAGTAGTCTTTTTTAGATAGAAGACTAGTATATCTAGAGCTAGTAAGAAGATTAACTTATTAGACTTCTTTAGACTTATTAAGCTTCTAGTATAGCTTAATAGAGTATAAATATAGGTATTAGTAGATTTAGAATCTAGCGTAAGCTATATTTTAAGCGCTGTAGTAGAACTAGCTAGACTAGTTCTAACTTAAAAGAAGAAAAGCTATCTACTACGCGTTGCTAGTAGATAGCCTATACTAGATAAATCTACTATTATATATAAGGTTATAAGAGTAACGCTCTATATCTAAGAATATTAGAAAATAATAGACTTAGACGTCTTAGAAGTAGCTACCTATAATATTATATTAGAACTTTTCTAGTTATAAGAGTATAACCTATAAATTAACTAGAAGTTAAGATAGCTCTTATTTAAATACTATAGACTAGATATATCTATAAGTAACTCTATATATTATATAAAGTAGATAGTAGATAAAAGAGAGATTAACCTAATTATATAGACGCGATAAATCTTAACTAAGAATAACTTTAAGAAATAAAGATTTAACTTAATAGATATAGAAAATAATAGCTCTAATTATAAAGTTAGAGTTCTAGAGAAACGCGTAACTCTAAGTATTCTAAAAGAGTATAAAGAATTAAAATATCTTTTTATAGAAGTAGTAGATAGCGATATCTTACTAAAGTACTAAGATTAGAACTATAAGATTATTCTAGAAGAAGAGAAGAAATTACTCTTTAGACTAATCTATTTCTTATTAGAAATAGAACTTAATATTCTAAAGAAGAAGCTAGTAACTAACTTAAAGAAAGGCTATATTAGACCTTCTACTTTGCTAGTAGAATTTCTAATACTCTTTATTCTAAAGAAGAAAGAAAACCTACTAAGAATATACGTTAACTATTAGAAACTTAATAATATTATAGTTAAGAATTAATATCTTCTACTAAATATTATAGAACTATAGAATTAACTATTAAAAGCTAAGATCTTTATAGTAATAGATCTTAGAGATAGCTACTACTTTATTAGAATAAAGAAAGATAAAGAATAGAAGATAGCGTTCTATATATAATATAGATATTATAAATATACTATTATACTATTTAGGCTTATAAACGCTCT